TCAGCATGAGACTCAGGACTGCGGGGATCTCAACGACAACTTTGCCGCTACCTGCAGCACCGTCGTCCCACTCTCTGAGGAGAAGCTGCGCGATGTGCCTTGGAAGCTCCACTGGCTCCGGCCCGCGCGGCCCCTGGAGCCCCATAGTTTTTTAATGTTCAGGTTTGCCTTGGAAATTAACATGCCAACTTTGCAAGGCACTAGCTTCATGATACAGTAGTGTTGCCTGCGTTGGCTTCTTCGCGACTTCAGACAAGTGTAATCATGGCAAGAAGCAAGTTGCACCTACCACATGTTCTATTTGAGCCCGTCAGTTTGTGAGTTTGATGTCGATGTTGAGAACACACATCAGTGAGGCCAGAGATTGAAAGGCATGTCGAATTTAATTAGCTGACAAACAAGTGTGTAGCGAACAAAAAGTAGAAACAGGCTGACTTGGATGTTGAATTAGATGCTCACTGTTACTCGTGGTGGTCTGTTTGCATGCAGCTGAGGTGCAGGATTATTTGCTGAACCGTTTTAGCCTCAATGGACCTCAGGTGTTTTAGGGCGGTCACTGAAAGAAGTGCAGCCTGCAGAGTTGGAAAACTTTCCTATGCTTCGGATACGGCTCACTTTGCTGTGACTTGTTTCTGGGACGCTTTGATACGAACACACTGCTGGATGCATGACATACCCCATCATCAGATGACGTAGCTCCTAAGGTGTGAATACTGTGGCTTGGCTTATATAATCAAATCGCGGCCGAGGTGTGTCGTGATGCGTAGTGGCGGACTCCGGCTTCTATGCAACAATGCAAAAGTGAACGATTGTGACTGTATGTGAGTAAGGTAGTGTAAGATTGAATTGAATCAAATTTGGCGATTCCCTAATTAGCTGGAATGCTTGAAAGTACTGGTGGTGCACTCAGGACAATTGGCAAACCCCGCCTTGATTGGTGCATCAAGCAGTGGGGTGCTTCGCGGCTGAGGGCCCTTAATTGGGTGGCCCATGCCGAGTGAGAGATTTGCCTCATTCGTGCACCATCGTGCACCCACAGAGGAGAGAATCTCCGGCTTCAGGAAGTTTGGGGTATGCCACCTGAGCCAAGTTGTTGTTTGACCATCCATTTTTTCAAGCTGTTTCAATATGTTTCAATTGCATGCTGTGTTTCTTGCAAGCTGGTTGATGCCGACCTCCTCATGCTGCTCCAGAGGTGCATCAGGCTGGCCCTGACATGCGTCTCCACATCGTCATAGCCGAAGCTCTGCAGAAACTCCACACTAGCGGCCGGTGGTTAGCACGTAAAAGGGTCAGTTCGATTGCTGTGCTGGGCCAGGAATAGACTTCAGACTTCACAAATTTCGCAGTGTTGAAGGGGATGCAAACCATCATCAACCCTCGAGGTTTGCATGTGTTGGTGTCGTGTGCTTCTTTGTACTTTCATGGCCGGGCTTGCTTCTGGGAGCCCGGAATGGCGGTGGCTGGTGGCTTCGGCCTTCCCGATTCTAAAAGCGCCCAAGGCAATTGACTGCGGCAAAGTCTTTGACACCGGGGCAGGCGAGGATGTGCCAAGACTTGAGGAGCACGTGGTATTCACCACTTGCCCTTTGGAGAACCTGTTTGAAGCGACAATACTATGGATATGGCATTCAAACTCGTTCAACAACGATAATCTGGGAGATTCCAAGAGGTTATTCTTCTATTTGGTCTAAGGTGACACAACGCAAAATGTTGTGGTTTGAGAGATTGTTTTAACATTTTTGAACAAGCACCTCCCATAATGGGAGCAGGTAGCATCCTGGGAGGCCGCGGGAGTGACTCGACAGCAAACAACTGGGATTGCAGATTGGTCGACCGTGGTGCCTTCCAGCAACCAGTGGATTTGAACATTCGAGAGTCAAGATCCTTGGCTCGTACCAGCAGCTGTGCCAACATTGGTGAGTTGGTTGCATAGCAGCGTTTTGCCGAACGCCGACCTAAGAAGAGAACAAAATATGTTGATCTTCAATGCAAATCCCTTGCAAGGGCCTCAGTTTTGCCCCTCCACCAGGTGCCACAGTTTTGCAAGCTTAGGTCGGACTCCAACGCTTGCGTCCTGCTGGCTCTACTGAGTCTGAAACAGCGTAGACAAGGGAAACATGCCAGGTGGCAAAACAGAGGTTGCCCATGGTTGCCCTAAAATTCCAGGTTCCCACGCGTTCCAGTGCTTATAATGAGTGCCCTTGCAGCCGGCTCCAAATATGCAGAAATTGTTCCTTGTTCCCTGGAGATCCTGGAGCTTTGAATCCCTTTGACCCCCTTTCAGAACTGCTTGTGCCTTTTTTTTGGTCGACCTCCTACTTATGTATAACTAAGTATATTAAGTAAGCGCCTACTTAATTAAGTAAGGCGACTAGAGCTACTAGGCTAAGTTAAGCTACTACCCAATACCTACTGAACGCAGGATAGCTCTCAGTCTCTAGTGATTTGGTTCCTATGTTTTTAGGGATGGTTTCCCCTTGGCCAGGGTCGCAACAAGAACGTGTCGAGTTGGTTGTGCGCTTAGAAGCCCTGGAGAAGATGAGCAATTCGGACCTCAGGATGGGACATGTGACATATCTCTTGCATGTGGTAGAAAGCATAGCTTAGCTTACCTCCTTACTTAGCTTAGAAAGCCTCACCTCACGGCCCACCAGGAAGCGAGGTTCTGGAATAAAGTTTACCCTGAGTGTAAAAGCATTCTTACGAACCCTCGCTGCAGTTGATTCAAGGCCTGAGACCTTTCAGAGTTGGGTCTGGCGGTGTTGCGCCTGCGATGCGCAGGCTTCAATATCAAGAGGCTGTAGCTCTTCCACCAGAAGCCCGGGAGCCTGCAGCTTGAGAGAATCATAGAAACCACTCACGTGGATTTCTTGTCCATGAGAAAAAGCATTCACGTGCATACACACATGTATGATGATGTATGCTGACACCTATGGTATCATAGCTCGCTACAGTGCGTTGAATGCGCACACGCGCACAATAGAGGTGAAAGGTGCAGGTAATCTCACAGCTGTTGTTTGCAATCAGCAGATTGAACCTTCTCGAAGGACCGATTTAAGTAGACTCCATCTCACAAATACAGTGTTGTGAAGTCAGGAGCCTTTTGCCCACATGCGTTCCAAAAATGCCGGCTCAAGATAAATCAGATGAATAAAGGAAGCATGGCAAAACCATAACATGTTTTGCCCACAGAATCACTTGAGCCTCTTGAGACCTTGCTCATAGGAAGCAGGACCTTTTTGCAGATCCCATAATGAATTTGAAGGAATTCACTGAGTGGCTCGCACTGTTGGCCCCACCCAGTTCAAACATGGTCAGAGCTGCAAGTGTCGATTCAAACGCTCTTTCACTCCCCCTTTGCTCCTCCGCCATGCCTCGGTGACACGCATTATGCCCGGCGCCGCCTGGGACTTCGCGTGGTTCGTCTGAGCCTTAGGCCAGATGCTGCACGAGGAGAGAACACAGGATCGCAGAGGTGCTGTTCTAGTAGTGTGGGCAACCTTGGCTTAAGTAAAAATAGCACTCATGCAAGGGATGCAATTCGCAAGTGCATGTTGTAGTTGCATGTAGTTGCTGCTGGGTGATTCGCTGGCAAGGACAACAGATGGCCTTCCAGCAGGAGATCAACAGGCCAGCATCCTTTTAGCAGAATGGGAGATGAATCGGCGATGAATTTACATGTTTGAACACATACTAGTATCAATCATTGCCGCAATGCCTGGGATGACATAGCATAGGCTAGCAGCTAGAACAGGTCAAGTTGGTACACCAGCTCGCACCTTCGCTGACTTGCCTCCTTGCAAGCAGATTCGAGGAAGCAGCTTCTTTGAGGTGAGAGAGCCCGAGATCAAAGGCCAGATGCCCTGAAGGAGACCGTTACGGTACAAAGATTGAAACGATTGCAGTTGTTCTCCAGTCCTGGATCGGTAGGAGTTAGTAGGAGTTGCATTGAAAAATACTTTTCTTTTTGTGTCAACTTGGCAAGGCAATACCTGTTTTTCCTGTGCAGGCAAGACCGTCAAGGCTCGCCATACGAGATTAGCATCTTGTTTTTGTCGGACCGGTGGCAACTCACTTACTTGTCCATTTGGTGTGAGGGTTGTTCTTTAGTGTGACTGGCAGCTTTGTTTGGACTTCTTTTGCATGGCAAGCAATTGATAGCTGCGGCTTGCTGATCTGAGGTGCCTGAGAGAGTAGTGGCGCTGAGCTCAAAGATACATCCCTTGAAGTCAGGCGGGGGTGTACGTCCCTGTGTCAGTCAAAATCCTGCTTAGTCTTACTCTTCGAGTTTGCAAGAAATTGAAGGGAAGGACGGCGCATTGCTGATATCAATAGCAAGAGTAACAATCGATGATAGTCATTGTGTAGTCAGCTGAGATATGCAACAGGAAGAAGCTCGGCACATTAGCATCATGCCACGAAGTTGTACCGCCCTCCAGGCATTCTAGCCCTGTCGCAGCGCCATGGCGCAGTGCGGCCACATGGCACTAGCAGGCACAAAAGCAACTCGACTTTGATTGTCCTTACAAACAAGTTCCTTTTGTGCGTTAGCGTTCCTTCAGTTCCTTCAGTTTTTGTCCACAGATGTCGAGCATTTTTCGGCATGTGCTGTGCTCCGGCATTTGCTACACTGAGGTGTAGGTCTTCTTGCTTCACCAGGCCTTCCCTTTCGATGCCTATTGCGTTACTTTCGAACTGTTTATCCGGTGTAGGAGAGCCGTGGTGCACTGTTCAAGTGGCTGGCTTAAACTTAATGAATTCTATTTTCAATGCATTATGCTTGAGAGCGTATGTCATGTGTCTAAACAGATGGAGATGGGATCGGATCGCCGGCTGACTTGTGCGTGCAGGCCAGCATGCCCATGCGCCTTATGGTGGAGACTACGGCAGTTATGATCCATACGCTGGAGGCTATGATCCTTACGCAGGCAACTATGACCCGTATGACGGTGGCTACCATGAATACGCCCCGGAGGACGACTATGCTCCGGTAGACTATGGAGGAGCCGCTTCACCTTTCTTGCCAAACCTGGTTATATCCAGAGACGATGTGTTAGTGATGTAAGGGTAAGGCAACTGAAGTATCAGCTCCTTGTAAATATAGGAAAGAGTGTGTGCATTCAGTAACCTGAGCCTATTAGCCTTCCCGCTCTAAAATCTCGGCATAGTGGGGCCATGTTCTCTGAAACCGCATGCGACATGTGCCGGTGATGGGTGTTAAGTCCAACGCACCGTGCCACCGATTTCAGGTGCACCCCAACAGGAAGCGACACATCGTGCAATTCTTGGGATGCCCAAAGCGCCATGCCACATGCCGCACCAGATGTTAAGCTTATGTTTGCCAGATCCCTTTATTCTAGAAGTTGTTCATCTTGAAAAAAATGCAAAAAAATATCACAAAGGAAAGCCAGAAAAACAAAAGCAATCATCAAAGCAAAAAAAAAAACAAAATTACAAGCAAAAATGGAACAACACAGCATGTTTGTAAAAATGGTTGGTGAGTGGATACTGTATGATATGATTAGATTTAGGTTCCAATGATTCCAATGATATGATTGGAGTCATTGGATGATTTGATTCTAAGGATTGAAGCAATGGGTTTCGCACCTGTACTTCCACTGAATGGATCATGATAGGGGAAGCCGGTATTCAGCACCTGTTCCACGAAGGATGTCCTGTAGCTGTGCATCCCTCCAAAAAGCTCTGGGGTGGCTGGAATCTACATTGTCCCTGAGGTTTTTGCACTCAGGCGGGCATTTTTGTTGGTGGCGGCACTTTCTGGCACACTTTTTAATGTTTGTTCAATGTTGTGTTTTTGTTTGACACCTGACCTGGCACCAGAAACAAAAGCGACCAAAAGTGAGACACTTGACACACACTAGAAAACCAGTCAGCTGGGCTTCGGGGATGGAAGATCCTTGACCCTTGGCCCTTCTTCCTCACCCAGTACTAACCCTACCCACCCTCTTGCTAGTGACTAGTGGTGCGGGTAGGTAGTAGTAGTAGTAGTAGTAGTAGTAGTAGTAGGTAGTGGTAGTAGTGGTGGTAGTGGTAGTGGTCGTGGTCGTGGTCGTGGTCGTAGTGGTGGTCGTAGTGGTGGTCGTAGTGGTGGTGGTGGTGGTGGTGGTGGTCGGAGTCGTAGTCGTAGTCGTAAGTCGTAGTCGTCAGTCGTAAGTCGTAGTAGTAGTCGTAGTAGTAGTAGTAGTCAGTAGTAGTCAGTAGGAGTAGTAGTAGTAGTAGTAGTTTATGTCGTCGTCGTCGCTGTCGGAGTCGTAGTCGTAGTAGTACTTTAAGTGTGTGTGTGTGTGTTCCTTTTCTTTTGCTTTCTTGGCAACTCTTTTCTTGCACTTGGTTGTTGCTTGTGTTTTTTGGTTTGCACTTTTGGTGCTTCATTAACGTTTTTTTCAAGATGCGAGGTTTCTAGAACAACCCCACCACTGGTGGACATAATGTTAAGCATGCCTTGGGCAGTCGAACCCTGGTCCCTTCTCCTGCACGCTCGCCACAAAGGAGAGATGGAGGAGCCCCCCGCCTCCAGCAATTCCAATGCCTGAAGGAAACGAGCAGGGTGGGTGAGGATTGTGAAATCAGAAGCTATTGGGTTGACATGGCTCCATGGACGGAGTGGACTCCACTACACCAATCTACACTATAGTTACGCACATTTTCCCCTTGGAGATGTTTGCGTTCAAACCTTTAGGGGTTTCAGATATTTTGGCCCTTTGGCCCCCCCAAAGCTTTGGAGGAGAAGTCGAAGCTCTCAAAGCAGAGATTCTCGGACGCATTCAAGCAGACATGTGATTGTATCCCTTTCTTTCAGCGGATTTGTAGGAACGTTTGGCTCAACAACGCGGTTTCCAAGGCAGATGCAAGACGCGGCCTTGAAGCAGTGTATGGCCAAGTGCCCTATTTGGGATGCTTGCTAGCAGACAATAACAACATGGCACAAAGGCCTTGCTGCGAGCAAGGCAACGTGAGCATTGATGGGAATACGAATGATCTAACTATATAGGATCTAACTATTACATACATACATATATATATATATACATAGTATACACATACATACATTTCTGTGTGTGCACATTATATTAGCTTTTGACACTGATGTTTGGAAAGTTGTGGCGGGCATAGAGCAAAAGTTTGTTTGCAAAAAGGACCCGTTGGCAACTGCAAAGCCTGAAGATCTTCAGCATGCATCGCTTGCCGCCAAGCTAAACAATGATGGGAGCCGTATTCGTTCCAGTTGACTTCGATGATTGGTTCCAACACAGTGATGCTGAATGTCTTTCGCAAGTGTCTATTTTGATCCTAGGCCCCGTTCCTTGTTTATGTTCAAGCTGGCCTATAAATCAAGAACTGATTTGAAGCATGCCCTTTGCCCACAAGAATGGAAGCGGGCCAGTGGCCTGTGGAAGGCATCCCCACCAGGAATCCCCTCAAGGGTAGGCTGACATTCAACAGTTGGCAAGAATGTCCTGCCTTGATTTATCATCACGGAGGGCCAGCATTGACACCCGTTCTCGGATTGTCGATGCTTTACTTTTGAAGGCTAGGCTGGTAGTGAAAAGGATATCAAAGTTTGGGGACATTCGTTGCGGCGGCGGTTCCCGAGTCACAAGTGATCCCCCCGCCGATTAGCTGAGCTTATGCAGCTGTTTGATTCTGATATGATTATGATATGGTTGTTATGATACACATGAGCCGACGTGCAGGTGGTGCTACAGCGTTTAGCACGCCCAGAGCGTCGTATTGCACCATCTTTGCGCCGTGCATCTGCGGCAGTGGATGCTGCTGGCCGGAGCTTTGAGCGATGGGTCCGTAGCTATGTCAGCAAAGAATGGAGCTCCGGAGGGTTCTCGAGACAAAACCGCGTTTCTTTTTGGGAGGGGCCGACCTCCTACTTAATTAAGTGCGGTGAGGGTGCCGCAGGTGCCAGGGCGCGGATAGTGGGAAGCGACCTTCAAGGGTGCTCGACTGTTGTGGTACATGGCTAAGCGGCTAAGGTAAACGACAGGATTTGGGGCGCGAGCTTCCTAAGCTACGGCATCTTGGAGCAAACAAGGCAGAGAGTGCCCACTCAGCATACCAATGTAGGGAGGTTAAAGGCTGCAAGCTTCGCACAGTAGGCCGTTGATACATGTTGATACTAAGATTTTGCTGGGCTTGCATGTTGGTTTCGTTGCCCCATGCAGTCAGAAGTGCTACATTCCACCCTACTGTAATTGAAATGCTTGTTTACGCTGACAAGTCATAATTGCACAAACAAAACTTAAACAACTCATCAGGATACGGAGGGTGAAGATGCTTGTATCAAACGCTTTGTGTAAACCATTGTAAAGCACACCATGTGCATAACAGGGCTCTTTGTTGATTGCGGAATCATGAGACTGGGGGCGGCAACACATGAAGCTCTCCATTGATGTCAAAAGGATTCAAAACGAGTGACTTTGGTTTGCACTCGGACCTGAGAAAAAAAAGCAATCAATGTCATTGCCCGTCGCGCAAGGAAGATCATCATGGGTTGCAAGACTCTGCAGGATGAGCAAGATGCTCAAGAGGTCGACAACGACCTTGAGGCCATCCGCACAAACGGAGTGTCGGCCAATGTGACATCCGATCGTATCATGCCTTTGAGGCCATCCGTGCAGAGACCGACCGAGCACGGCAGCAGGTGCAAAAAAAATGCTAGTGAAGCAGAGCTAGCACAGGAGAGCATTGTGCCACTTGGTTTTCAACATATGGCCCAGAGCAGTCTAAGAGCACCTTGTAACACCAGAGTTTTTTTGTCCGAAGGCTCGCTCTTTGCTCTAGGACTTCGGACAGTGGATGAGCAAATGTGGGCCTTTGTTCGTCCTCCTTATATGTTTTCACATCTATATATATATTATATATATAATCTCTTTGAATCTCCATTGTTTGTTGCCATGTGTTGCACATGTCCTGGTATTTTTGTGTCGGACCTCCATTGCAACTATCTCTTGACAGCACTGAAGAAGTCTGCTTGGCAATCAGCTTGCTTTTGGGTCTCTAGTCAAGTAGGTTGTCAAACGATTGCTTCTGCACACATGGCCCCATGAAAGTGAGGAGATATGATATGAGTGGAGTTTATACGATTGCAGCAGATCTCCTTTCTCAGCACCTGTGAAGCGACTAAGGATGCAGGATGTTGGTCACATGCAGGGCAAGGCCGTTTGGTTGCCAAAGAGTGAATCATTCCGCACGCAATCCGGCCTGTACTTTCACAGTAGATAGTAAATAGGGAGTTGAAATCATTTCAAGGGTGTCAGGCAGTGTACTTACATTTGCTTGATATGTCTACCGAACGGTTGACCATGCAAGGCCGATCGGTGGGCTCTGGAGCAGGCAGCGCCTTCTAAGTAAACTACAGCAGAGGCCAACGAAGTGGGGAAGGGTGTAAAAGCATAAGAGTACTCTTCCAGGTTTGACTCACGAAGCATGGAGGTTTGGTTGGTTCATTGCTTAAAATTTGACTCTACTTTGCAGCAGGAGATGCAGCAGCAGGACCGACGGGATGCGCTCGTTGACTCGCAGGTCAGCGACACCAGAGATATTGGTAGTTGGTCGAGACAGTGTAAAGACCTTGTACGTCCATGGGGAGATATTTGGGCCAAGGCCATGCAGCAAGTCAATGGCTACAACCAGCAGGGTGCAGACTTTCAACAAAGACAGATGGAGGAGGCAGGCCCCATCTTTGTTTGTGGCTTCGGGCTTGAATTTGAAATGATGTGACGCACGGAATTGCGTTGTTGACTAAAGGCAGCGACAACTCCAGGTCACAAAAGAGATGAAGCAGTTGCCCTCAAGCAGTTTGGAGCTGAAAGCATCGAAGGTCGGGTAAAACTGCTGAGATTCCAAGGAAACAAGCTGACCTAGCCACAGACCTAATTGTTCAGTCCCGACTTTTAAACTGCAAATCTCAGTTTGGTTTGTTTTTAGGTGTTATTAAACAGTTCTTGGAACTTATGGCAAGAACATGTTTCCTTGTTTGGGGGGCAATTTGCTGCTCTCTCCAATTACGTAGCAAAAGCATGCAAAAGTGCAGCTGCAGATTTAGACTCATGAAGCACCAGGGTCTCGCATTGAGCTGCATGCTGCTATTTCCCTAGCCTATTATTAGGACGTGTGACCAAAGCTCCCCTTGGTCGGGTCCATTCTCACAGAAGTGTTTTGATGGTGTTTGCTTACATTGTTACTACTAGTAAGGCACTTTGCTCCTAGTAGCGATGCACTTGTTACTACTAGCGATGCACCTGTTAGCTTTCTATATAGCAAGGCTCCTTCATATTTCTGCCACAAGGGCCACTGGGGAGGTCGCTCCCTCATTTGCTTGTGCCAGGATGCATCAAGAGGACGGGCTTTGCGGTTCAAGAGGGATGCAAAATTTGTGGAGTTGGTGGTGTCAATCCAAGGTTAAAAAGTCATCCCATGTCGCTCAGTAAGATGCGCAACTGGGTTGACGTTATTGATAGCTGAGTTGAGTGTGCAGCTTACAGAGTGACTGACGGGTTCATTCCCACACAGCAGTGGCTGAGAAAGGGAAAGTTAGAGAGAACATCTCTGCTGCGGGGTTGTTGTTTGCAGAATGATCAGCTCCAGCATGGAAAGCTGTGCTCACAGGAGCCCCGACCTCGTTGCAGTCCTTGGCCAAGAGCATTGATCTAGAAGGGCCAGAAGGTCAGAATCCCACTCAACAATCTCACCATCATCATCATCATCATCATCATCACCACGGAGGCTGGTTGCCTTTGAGTCGCTGAGAAAAGGACCGTATGTTAAACAGATGTTGCCTGGCAGGGCATTTCCATTTTTTGTGTGCTTCCTTGGTCGAAAAGATGCTAGCAGCTAGCAGCACAAAGCAAAACATCATCGGATTCTTTATTTCTTGTCATGCTATACTTTCAGGTGCCCATGAAGCCTGGCACAATCACTGTGATGATGGTGGCTGTTATGATGAGTATGGAGGCGTGCTTTTTGCAAAGGAGTGTCTAAATGGCCATCCACAGAAGCCAAAGCCTTGACTTGACAATCTTTTTTGGATGGGGGACTCAACACGTTCACATTGGCAAGTATGAAGTAAGTATGTGTGGTTTTTTTGGTACTCGAATGTTGCTGTTGAGGGAAATGGAAAATAAGATGATACTTCTTTCAAATTTATATAGCTGGGCAGCTGATGATACAATTGCAGCTGCCGCCTTCCCTGTCGAAATCGAGGGCTCCTTGCAAACTTTTCCTTCAATACGTCATAACGCTTGGCAATGCCGAGGCTACTGGGATGATATCCATGGAGGGTATTGGGATGAGTATGGCCGCTACTGGGAAGAAGGCTGGGGAGGCTACTGGGATCCTGATGGAACATACTATGTGTGCCTTTGAAGCACCAGTCGCCGCACTTACTGTAGTGCTTTTTTGGGGCCACCTGAGATAAATGCGATCTAAAAGGTATTTGCAACTGGGTGCCCCGGTCCTTGATGAATCGCCTGGTTGAAAGCAGACGACCAGTGGCCGTATTGACCATTCGTCAATTTGTCAGCAATCCCTTGTCAGCATTGAACGAGCCCTCCCAATGATGCGCTTCACATAAGGAAGGATGACGCTCAGGAAGCAAAAGAGGATGCTAGCTCATTGCAGGCCAGCATGTTTGGATGCATCAGGATAAGCCTCAAAATCCAAAAAGAACGGAAGAAGTGCTGTGACAGACGAACGGCTTTTGAGGGTTTTTGGCTTCCATCCAAAAAGCCGTCATTCATGACAGACGGATGGGTGAGGCACAAAATACTTGTTCGCTGTATGCTGTTGCGTGGCAAATGTTGCAGCTGGATGTCCTGCAACACTTTTCAGTTCACGTGCTCACTGCAAGCTGTCATGCCGCTTGACATCATGTGTTGCCTTGCCGAGCAGGAGTGGTTTAAGCAGTGCGGTCAGATTCGCATTCCTCCGTCAATTGTCGCAACGCGGCGTGCAGCCAGCGAAGCCTATTGGGACTTTGACAGGCCACGTCAAGACCTGACGCCCCGTTTCTAAAAATTCAAGCTGTTTGTGGTAGGTATCATGAGTTGTTCCGCTGAGATTCCATTTGGACATAGCACCGAGCACGAAAACATTCGCAACTAACTCGGAATGCATGATGTTACGGTGTTTCAAGAAGGAGGATGCTCTTCACAAAGGAGAGCCAAGTAGATTACTAAGTAGATGATGAGAAACTCGCACAAAAAAGAAGAAAAACTCGCTTTGGAATTAAAGATGTCGACTTGTCACCAAATGGGGCAGGTCTTTGGCAGTGGCCGAGAAGGCAGTAGATGACGCCCTCACCTCAGCAAGGCGGCCTTTTGCTTCAAAGAGAACGCTGATCAAACTCAAGAAATCCCTCCATGCTGTAGGAGACGGCTGGGATGTGAACTCATTTTGCAGTAGATGCAGTAGCCACTTCATGGGTAAGCTTGGGACACTGTTGTGAATCAAGCTTTTGCAGTTTGGCTCGCACCACATTCACATGTTCTTGTTCTTTCATATGTGTCACATGACTGTTTCTCAGAGCTACAGCCATTTGGCAGGATGAAAGGTGAATGACTTGCCACAAAGAGCAAAGAGCTGTGACATTGGCCAAAATGGCTATGTTGCACGAGCGTGCTCGCGGCATGACAGGCTGGTTTTTAGGAGATACATACTGGCAACATACAGCCAGTTGAAATCATGGCAAACAAGATGTGACGCTTGTTCAGCCACGACCTGCCCTTTGGTGCCGAAACCTTATGCAGAGTTTAAGACCCTTCTTGCACTGAACATGGCCGAGAGAAACAAAAAAGTCAACCTTGAATCCAGCAAGCTGTCCATGGTGCAAATCATGATTCAGAGCCAGGATTTTGTGGTCAAGCAGTTTGCTATGTCCCCCATAGAGCTTTTGAGAGCTTGTTTGGAGGACAGGCCGGGTTTAGATGCTGGGTAAACCTTGAAAAATTTAAGGCAACGTAACTACAGGGTTCGCTACGTTACAAGACGTCCAGGGGTCAGTTGGGCCGTGGCGAGGGTAAGGTTGAACAGTGCACCGGCCAAGGCTGCCTCAGTGCCTGAGGATGGGCGGGCGAGCCATTTGAGTGTGTTTATTTAAATAATTACATATATATATATACATATTACGTGCCAAAGAAGTTCGTGCCTTGATTCTGTCGACAGAGTGGGGAAGTTTGAAAGGAGGGCATTGCTTTGGGCAGGATCGAGAAGAACTTATTCCAAGGCTGAGGCTGTGCTTAGGGAGCCCGGACATGGCCATGCGTTGCATGCATGGGTTGACAGTTTCAGGTTTCCACATGAGTTGTCGTGGTGCCATGTGGTGCCTCCTTGGAGCTGGGAGCCGTGACTGTATGGATATCGTGGAGTTTGTTTTATCAATGCCGAAAGCTTTTACAGAGCTTTCGGCATGGTCGGGCCGCTGCAGCCAGCTGCCTTTTCAAATCGATTGGAATTCTGGAAAAAATATCAACTGCACACAAAGGATTAAGAATTCCTGTTGCAGAAAAGATGACCTAGTTAGTATGCAACAGCATTCACCATCCTCACCTGCCAACTCGACGTGGAGCCGTGGAGCAATGTCTCTCGATTTGATTGTGCCAATTTCGCAGGCACTTTGCAAGCCGAGGGTTTCGCGGGCTAGTTGGCTCCGTGCTGAAAAATGCTGTAATATGCTGTAATTATATAACAAGGAAGGCTGCCATGAGCAAATTTTGTGCCTCGGGATGTCAAGATCACAATGTAAGTAGGATTGCTTGTTGCTTCAAACGTTCCATAGGGCACGGTAGAAGTGCAAGTAGAGGACAACCGCTGAATCAATATATAATGTCAAACTGAACTGAAACTTGTCCGACAGAGGTGACATCGCTGCGTTTGAGTCCTTCACGTGCAAAGTCGTTTGCGCCTGCCCGAATTGCAAGATGCGCTAGCCAACATTCGGAGGAGCAAAAGACGGTTTGTTCTCAAGGTCAGTGGAATCAGCTCTTGCTTTGTCACCGCACACTTGTTCAATAGTGCTTGATGTTGCCAAGTGTTGTGGCTAATTGATGCAACCATATGATGGTGCATCGTCCATACCGACATGCAGCAGGTGAAAGATACTTTACCCAAGCCCCTATAAGAATATAATATACCAGCAGGAGGCAGAGCCACCACATCCTCTAACACTCCATGCAAACAATGCAACATTATCATGGTGGGTCAGGAACTCAAAAGATACTCCTACTGTACCGTTTGCTACCCAAACAACAGAATGCCCGCTTGCTTGTGCGGATGTATATAGTTGGCATCGCTACTAGTAACAAGAACGCTACTAGGTGGAGCATCCTTGTTACTTGTGTGGTTGGACAGGTAAACCCTGTTAGACTTTTTCGTGCCATGTGTTTGGCAGGAGGACTCCAGCTCCCTTGGACGTCGCCTCTTTGTCGCTGGGCATTGTTGTGGTCATGTTTGGGGCTTCAACGGCCACAGAAGCCAATCATGCAAACCGTCGTTTTCCATGGTCCACTGGCGTGTTTTGCTCCATCAAGTATCATGAAGTAAAGGTGGCAAGTTCCTGTCGACAAAGCAAAGAAGTGAACAGCATGTTTGGCTTTCGCACTTACCGATCTGCGTGTCGGAGGTGCCGTTCGGATTGTGACCGCCGAGCTCGAGGGATAGAGCAGCATGTTTGGCCTTTCCGTATAGTCTAACCTACTATAGTAACTATAGTAACCATAGGCTATCATAGGCTCGAAAATGCTTGAAAGGGCTGTCAACGTATAGTGACCCGAGCAACCCTCACGTGTTCAGATGGGTACTAATTTCGTCATGTTTGTTCGAAATTGCCATCAAGGCTGGCTTCTTGGGCTTGGTGCTAATCGCTCGACCTCGGACCACCCATGCGGCCAGCGGCCCGCCTCCACCGGAGACCGGGGAGTTCCGAGCATTTGATGGTCACTTTTACCAGCAGAGAGCAGAGGTAGATTGGTTTTGGGATATTTCGGTGGCAAACGATTCGGCTTTTCGGAGAAAATCTGCATGGGTAGTCCTAGGCTGTTGGGCCATTTTTCGTCGTAGGCATGGCATAGCACAGAGGAGGTCGAGTCACACTCATTTGACAGGAGGATGAGGTCGTGAACGTGATTGATGGAGACACTGCCACTCGAAGATAATTGTAATTACAATGAGTGATTGATTGAAAAGGTTTTCAGGCGGGCTTGTGTTCCATGTTCGGTGAATGCAAGAGTTTGCTGGGGCTTCAATTGTTTCTGCATGACGAATGATGCACGCTCGAGGTGAAACTGGCCTTTGCGGGGCGTTGCCGCCTGATCGGAGTGAATACGCCAGAAACTGTGGCACCCAGGCATCGCCTGGGTTTCGCTTGATCATGAAACAAGAACTGCCCACCTTGGTGCAAGTGCTACTGCAAGTGCTTTGGTTAAGTTTAGGTTGTGGAGCTGGTGTTCCTTTGACAATTGACATTCAGTTGTCATTGAGAGTTTTCACGGTACTGGCAGTTGGTCGAACGACTGACCTAATCCTGATCAATCCTGTATTGCAGACCAAACCATTTTCCCCTCCGAGCCTGCATGATAGCCTACATGTTTGCAAAGCGCTACTGATAGCCTGACATGGACCCAAGAGTTGCATGTGTCGCTGGCTGAGCGGCTGCACCCTCAAGGCAAAAGGCGGGAGAGCCGCCAGATTGCTACGGCCCTGAAGCTTCTGCATTCACTAAGGGCCTGCAACTTGCCAGCCTTCAGAGAGCAGGCAACTGGCGAAAATAAAGGATCGGTTTCAATCAGTCGAAAAGCAATCTGGCATAGAACGTAGTTTGCTTGCTTCATAGATCTGGCGAGGACATTCTGTGTGCTCGATTGACTAAGTTGACATCCCTAAATGCTTGTTATCAAGGGAAACTATCGATTGTCAATTGACGTTGTTTGTTATTTTTTGTTGGAGGCAATCGCTATTTGTTTGGAGGCCATCGTTATTGGGTTCCTTAATGTGTTTTTTATGAGGATATATATATATATATATGTGGTTTTCTTTTCGGTTGGAGGCCATCACGTTCAGTTTGCCCAAGGTTCCCTCCTGGTACCAAAGTCAAGGTCGAGCTCGATGCCGAACCTGTAGACAAGTACGGTCGGCAGTTGGTGTACCTGTACAGGCTGGAGTAATCAATCCTTGCGTCCCCACGAATATAGCATCAGAAATGGCACAGGGACCTTTGTTCTCTAAAGGATTCTAAAAGTGACAGATTTTGCAATTGTTTTTGATCTCGTTGGCATGAGGCAACACGGAATTAAACGGAAAGCGCCCGAGCCCATGTGCCATTCCATGGTACAATCAATCTAGCCAGACCGCTGACTGTTGGAATCGCCAACTCATTCAAATCCATTTGAGCCGGGCCAGAGCAAGTAGAAAAGATTCATGTAGTCTCAGCATGCTGCATCACAGGCTAATCTTCATGATAGTCCTACTCTTGCGTTCTGATTGGGTTTCGGTCACCAAAACGCTGCAAACTTCGACATACATCTAATTCTTTTGTGCACAGGGGCAATGAATTCTTGATGTATAGCAGTTTTGACTAACATACTTCCGTAGAGCGTTTACATGGTGTTTTAACATAAAACGGGTGACTTTTCCCACGCCGGGTGACTTGTGACTAATGCTGCGTTTACATGCGGCCGAGTCACTTTCTGCAAAGCCGGGTGACTAAACTCCGACGCTTGTACAAAGCCACTGACTAAACACAGATCAGCGTTGAAACCATAGTATGACATCCACCCATCATGTTTGGATGCCTTGGAGGTCCAAAGACGGACTCTTCTTGAACGCAGAATTGGTCAAGCAGGGTGCAGCACGCCGCTACAAAGTCGCGCCCAATGTGAAGTATGACGCCAAGTTCGTCGAGTTGGACACGGGCGGGTTTTGAGATGCAGCGTTAGTTGTCAACTGTGAGATGACCTGATGACATATCTCGAAAGAATAATATGACTGATGATACGCCTGCGCTCTAATTAATGCAAGTTGGGAGGAGAAAGACGCCAAAGCTGCTGGAAGGGGCCTTTGGGGCGCTTGTGCTGGCAAGTCAACACCATCTGCAGCAGCAGCACCGGCTGCACCCACAGCCTCTGCTGGACCTCCTCAGGCCGACATGTTGATTTGTGCACAATTGTTGACATTGTAGTTGAATCCAGGAAATGGCCTGCTGGCCAAGATGAGCGGGGTTGTTTGCAAGTTTTGTAGATGATTGCTTTCTCAATTACTTGGATGATGCTTCGCGGATTGGCTTGAGAAGACTGCGTCTTCAGCTTCAGCATTGACCAGAACAAGGTAAGCCAAGCTTTGCATCCCAAGGCTTTTGCTTCAGACAGGAGCTACGGTGGCCGAACTACGTGGGTTTGTGATGGTTTGTGTAGTCATAGTTGCACATGGTTCCAGACAGGACTCCAGAACTCTACGATGGGGCCCGTAGGGATGTCCTTGTCAGTTCTTGCCATGGCCCGCGCGGCTCCGACCTTTCGACATCCACCATGAATTTGGTGCTCCTGACAGACAAGGCCGGTTGTGACAATGTGTTTGCACATGTGAGTCTAGACTTCCAGTTTGAGCTGAATATTGAGGCTGAGGGTTGGGCAAGGGATGCCTTTGCTACTGCAGCCAGCTTTTTTTTCAAGTTGAGAGCACAGATGCAGATGAATCAGGGTCGAGAACCACCTTTCCTGTGCAGCCTAGCCCGTTCGAAGTGACAGTCATATTGCAGGAGCTAGCAGCTTTGAAGGAAGAGCGGGTTCTCCTTTTACCTTCTCAAGATCGACGTTCCCAGCATATCACCACTGTGCTCAAGCCTGGACCGGGTGTCACTTGGTCAAATTGTTTTGAAAGCTAAAATCGCAACACTCCGTACGAAGCTGCCACGAATCTGCTCAGCTCCGGAGCCATTTGAGGCCACCATTCGCATTGGAGTTGTCGGCATTGGCGTGGGGCGAGTCACAGTGAAGGTGTGTGATTCCGGAGAGGTGGGTCGTGGTCATCAATCATGGTTTTGACTCCATGTTCTCGTAAGTGTTATGGCCGAAGCTGGGGAATATAACCCACCTATAAAGATCAGAAAGCACTCCTTGAATCTGTGCAGGTGGAGATCAGCTCAAAGGACTTGGCATTGACAGCCTTGGCTCCTACACCTCATGTGGAGCTACTTTTGGCCATGCCGCGTCCGAAGGCTCAGCCCAAAAGGTCATAGGGAATTGAATGCGGAGAACATACGTTGAGATTTGCCTTCCCAACAGTAAATATGTGATCTAGTTACTAGTTTTATCATATTTGCGGGTTCGAAAATTTGGGCAGCAATGCAAAGCACGAAAGTCAACCAAGTCGGGCAGCAGCAGGTGATGATGCGGCTGTGGTCGGTGCTGGCAGCTTGGCTTGGTAAGAAAACTTGGAAACTGCAAATTGGACACCAATTAGTTTGTGTGAGTCTCTCATCTCTCATCACTAAATTAGCTTCTTGCTGCTAGTAGTAAGGCCAGGAGCCCCTAGTAGCGTCGTTGCTCCAATTAGTTTGTGTGAGTCTCTCATCTCTCACTAAATTACAATACTGCGGATGTTTTGGAAAGGCACAGCTGGGCCTCCGCCGCATTGTGTTGACAAACGCATGGCGTGTGGAGAAGTCTTATTTTTCATCACAGTCAACTGAGCAGAGGAAGCCGCTTGTCTGAACAAACTGCCGGGTGTTTTCAAGCAGCATCCTGCAGCATTGGTCTTGGAGAGCATCAGTGGCTTTAAAGATCTTTAAAGTAATATACGTTCTTTGCATTGAGTTAGTGGGCTTGAGCTCAAAGTAGATCTGCCTTCTTTCACTTGTAGGAGGGTGGAGCGTTTGAGTTTCAGGTATTTGCCCGAGCTCTTGGAGGGCCTTGAACAGGCAAATTTAACAACTGGTCGTGTTTGTTGCTAATTTTCTCGTCGTTGTCGCCGTCGTCGTCCAAGGTAATGTATATATGTCGAACAAGCTGCGTTTATTTGCCTTGCGTTTTGTTCTTTTACTGTAGATCATTTTAGCGTATGAGCCAGCACATCTTGAACTGAAGTCCTGTCCAGGCTGTTTGCACGACACTGCCAGAAGTGCAGATTGAGATGCGGCTGAAGCCCTTTATCGAAGACCAGGTGCAGTCCATATTACAAGCAATCAGCGCTTTCCAATCTTGGTTTCCAACCAAATTTATAGTAGCTTCCTGCGCACCCCCTAAGTTACTAGACTAGACTGTTGGATACGCTTGATGTGTTCATGACCTTGGTTCTTGTTTCTCTCAGGTGGATTTGCTGTTTCCTTCCGATCGCTTCTTGCGGCTATTCTGTCATCCTGGACATGGCATGCGCATCGCCGATGCCGTGGCAGCTGCCAGAAAGGGCTCCTCGAATCCACCAAAGGCCGTGGTTTTGGCAGTTGGCCCGGAAGGTGGCTGGGTGGACTATGAGGTGGGACTTTTCCGACAGCATGGCTTTATTCAAGTGTCTTTGGGCCGACGCATATTGACCACTGATGTTGCAATTGTGTCACTGGCCTCTTTGACATTAGATGCATTGTTTGCATCCGAACAAGGGCCCCCTGCAACAACATGGAAGACAGGAGCTGACTTGCTTTCTAGGCTGCTGCCTTGCTGCAGCTAGCTGGCGCAAGACTGCCCAAAGCAACAAAGCACCTTAAACCACTCCTTTCGATTTCAACCTTGAACAATCCGAGCTGGCACTCTGCTTTGTTGGCATTTCCAACTTAGAGATGTGATAATTGGCTTCAGTGGCGCGGCGGACCAGCGTCCATAAAGAATAGCCCACCAAACTACGAGAACGGTCAAATGAGGACTTGCAGCATCGGGCCATTGGGCTTGTAGTTGGTTGTGGGATCCTTTGATGTAAAGAAGCTGCAGAAGGCCAAAGTTTCTGGCCGCAGCTCAAGCAGGACCAGACCCACGCCTTGGCATTGTGAAGAGGACAAAATAAGTGTGCCGAGTAGTTGTGTGTGCAAAGAGCCTGTCGAGCCATGTCAAGCCTTGTACTGCTTATGCAGTCAATTGCAGTCGCAAAGTTTGGTGTCGACGCCATTGGTCAAGGACATAAAAAAGAAAACCTGCAAAGATTTTGCAAGCTACGAGGAAGCCAAGGCCTTGAGCTGGAAAGCAGCCTGAAGAAAAGCATCAAGCAAAGATGTTCAATACAAAATAAGAACATATAAGAACTGATGCCCCCTGCTTCAAGATGTTCAACCCTACGACAGGAGTTTCATGAAGGCCAAAATCTGCCAGAGAGGGTTGTCCAAAGCGTTTCTCCAAGAGGCTTGGTTTGATCAGTACTTCCCTCAGTACGGCGACTTCGCTGGCTTGGATGGCGACAAGGATGGCAAGCCTTGCGAAAGGCTTTTGAAAGCTAAGTGATGAACTGAGCTTCGCAAGAGATGTTTGAATAGATTAATAGATTCATTCGGTGGCCTTTTTGCCACCCCTGCTATAGAGACTGCCAATTCTGTGCACTCATTTACTTCTGCCGCTTGCCTCATAGGCCATGGCAGGGCAACACCCACTGACGCAACGACATGCGAAAAATTTGGTCCTTGGTTTGATTGAGAACCAAACCAGGCGACATGAACATGCCTGGAGGGAAAGCAAGTGGTGTCGTGTGACTGGTTTCCTAAGTAGCCTCCATGGTTTTCCCATATATGTTTGCTTGTTCTTCCTGATTTAACATACTTCCAGATGTTCTTCAGCTGGTTGTTTTGAATTCCCAATCCAATAATATCCCATATGTTCTATGTTTTTTCCGGTACCAGGTGCCCCCCCAATGCAAAGACAGGCAGGTCTACACCTGGAAGGCATTGCCACTGAACGAATTGCAACTTTGGCAGCACTGGCCAAGATGGCATGAACAAACAGCCCTAAAAACATCGAGATTCGTGGGACGATGAATCGAACAAATAAAATTTGAACAATGTGTTGTGGCATGTTTTTGGTGATGTGTCAGCCTATGCCACAGTGTTGGTGTCTCAGTTTTTCGCCAGGCGAGGTGAATGCCACAAGCAGGGCATTTCACATCATTTGGACATGGAGCCAATGGCCAAGCTGCAGCTTCCAAGACATCTGAATGTTTTTTATGGTTTCTAGCATTGGGTTATTGGGTGAAAATGAAGGCAGGCAAACGTATGCGAGAGCTGCCTTGGCTTCGCCTAGGCGGCCAGAGGAGGAGAAGCATCAGGAACTGCTGGAACGTTTGCTCTTGAGGTCTTTGGTCAGTTTTCCTCCCGTTTTCGACTTGGATTAAAGCTCGAGAGAGACACGACGTCAAGCAGGTGGGCGGATCGATGGAAAGAAGATGGCGTCCCATTGCATCGGTTCAGCAATCTGCGTGTGGCAGCTCAGGGCAAGTGTCGTGTTGGTGACATCCGGCTACCGGCTACTAACTCAATCTGGCTCACGTGTTCATGGACCACACATCTTTCATGGACCTCGAATTCGGTTTGAGTGGAGCGGAGGTTCAGCCAAGCACTTTGCAGAGAGAGTGGTGCAAATTGTTTGGGGCCTTAGCAGCGCAGTTTTGCGCCCTTCCACAAACCCTCGCATTGCATGCATGCTCACCACCCACAAAAAGTCAGGTTTCCCGTGAGACCGGCTTGCAACACGAGCATCGAGCCAAGAATATCACCGATTTGGTTTGTTGTCAAAGTTGTGTTTCTGGAACTTTTGTGCCAAGTTATTTTTTCTTGAGGCTGGCAGCTGCTCGCCCCTGAGATACTTCTTGAATGCTTCAAGATTGGAAACGGAATTCAGCAGAACACCATCGAAGATGAATTGAAGACGAATTCGGATGAGGCATCCGGATTGCCGCAAGACGCCTTTGGCTCTTTGGGAAAGCAGGAGAAGCTGCTTGCATTTTCTGTATTAATTAATAGGTGCTGGCAAGAAGTAGCCAGACTTGCCAAGCAGCCAACCAACAACGTGGGCAATGTTTGGTTCATATTGTACGTGGGGGGGCAGGGCAGGCCAACAAATGCAAACTTATGCAAAAATTGCCATTTTGATGAATGTCGATTTTCCAGTGCGCACGGCAAGGAGTTGATTGAGCATCTGAAAAAGGTGTTGTTGTGGAAGGACTGCATGCTGCAAGAAGTGCGACAAGAGAAGGGGCAATGTTTTGATTGGATGTTTGGTCTTGCATGGTCTTGCCGTGAAGGAGTTGTCCGTGGATGAACTCAGAGAAGAATGTATGCAACGGTCTTTGTCTTGGAGGGCTGAGGCACCGTGGAACCACGTACTTGCTCTGAAAACATGATTGGTTGGAAACAAAACCAATGTTTCTTTGCAGTTTGTAGTGGTTTCATGTTGTTTCTCTTTTGAGGATGAACATTTCAATGGATGGGTACAAACCAACTCTGTTTCCGCTGTAAATTGGAGGCTGCCCACGAGCGGCAAGAGTTGTTGGAACGATTGGCCCGCCTCTGAAAGGTTGAAAAACGACGTTCGAACGATTTTGCAAAGTTGGAAGTGTCAGACGCAAGAAAGTAGCAACCTTAGGTGGCATAGCCAGCCTAGGTTTGTTAAAGCATACTAAGAAGAAGAGTGCAACATATGTCCAAGACCTGAAGTTATCTTGCAACGAGCATAGTAGCTGCTAGCATCCTTGTTCATGTAAGCAAGAGGGTAAACCATTCAGTTCAGCCATCAAACATTCGAAAACCTAAATTGAAACAAATTGATCCAAATTGTTTCGCTTGTGGTGACCTTGACACGGTTTGTTAGTTGGACAAAAACTTTGCGAAGCTAAACTTAAAATAGGATCAGTATTGCACCACTTTTCTTTCGCTGAATCAGGTCATGGCCTGCTGTGCGCAGGCTGTCGGCTGTATGATCCGAGTTTTGCAGGTTGGTTTCCGACTCAAAATGAATTACGATGGTTCAGAATTTGTAAAAATATGCTGTATTAAATTTAAATCGGTCTAGCTGCCTAGCTCCACCACATTCGCACAAGAAAGTAAACCCCATGACCACCCCGACCCAGTTCTTTGAGAAGTGATTTGGCACAGACCACAGATGCTAATGATTAAAAGTTCATCACTCAGTTTCTTAGCTCAAAAAAGCAGGCAATGGGCAAGGTAACAAACTATGAGCATGATTCGAAGCATATTTTAACATATTTTAACATAGCATGTGTGATGTGTGATAGCTACAGACGGCTACGGAGGATTGACAGGCAGCTGTATATACATATGTAGAGAGAGAGAGAGCTAGCCACAACATCCAAAACAAATTGAGAGGCGCAAGAGCGCTTGATGCACCGTTCACAACTTGGTCAAGAGACCAGCAACCAGGTTGTTTGGTTTATTCAATATGACACCCTCTATCAATACAATGACATTGACATACATTGACCACTATTTCGGCTTTTCAGGTGTTCATCAGTCTTCATCCGTTGTTCGATGCACTTGAATCTGATCCGCTGTTAAAGTTCTTCCACGACTGAGTCAGAAGCACTCCTAGCCCTTTGCTGTCACAAAGCAAACATTAAAAAGACTGGCGTCGCTGTGTGCGACATGCGTCAGTGCCATGGCAAACTCTCCTCGCATGGTACTCAGGCCTGAAACTGGGACGCTTGCAGGGGCATGAATCCTTTGTAGAGGTCCCAAAACAGACAGGGTCAATTCTAAATGTAAATGTCGATTGTACTCAGCATGCTTCATCAATCAGTTGGTTTGAACTCGCTTCGCCCACCCAATAATATCACATGTTTGAGTTTGTGGGACTTGTGAATTTTGGTCAGACATTTCCAAACGAAACAGCCGATTGTTCTACAAGGACAAGAAACTACCACAACGTCTCCTGAGCAGTACGATGCTTCCCTAGATTGTATGTTTCGTTTGGTTTCAGTTATTCCTCGTTTCTTCAACATCTTGGAATAAGATGTGTTTTGATATGCTTGGATGGATTTTACCGATCTTTTGGGTGGAACAGCTTTAACCTCAGAGAAGCAAGGTGTTTGTTGCACAACTGTTGTGGCCTTCGCAGATGAGCACGTGGTTGGGCAGGTACTATTTAAGGGTATGCCTATTCTTTCCAATGCCGGGATATGCTGCCATTTTTTGGACAGACAGCAACTGGGCGAGAGTAAGCTGAAGCGCTTGTCACTCATCACGATTGATGCCAGTGGTGTGTAAAACGGTGCACATGTTTGTCTAACATTGTCTAAAACATTGCCTAACAAGGGGCTTCTAGATCATGCAAGGCAGAAGGTTGACACCACCTCTGAGTGGCAACACAAACCAGCAAGTTTTCGACGTATCAAATCATCCTGACCATTCAGTTTCAGTTTTGCATCAGTCTTGATGGCTTTACAACTATGTTGGCCACGTCAGGTTACTTGTTGATCAGCCTCACCCTCATATCATTGTTAGCAATTCCGCTGCATCTTTTCTGGATGAGGCACTATTTGTGCAAATTCAATGGAAGTCTTGGGCATTGGGTCTGTGAGAGTGTGTCCAAGTGTTTTGCATGTTGTGCCAAACTATAAGTTTGTCTTACAGGTTGTCAGCTTTGGTGATCATTTTTGTTCCAGTCAAATGCACCCAAGCGCTTCCAAGCAACAGCCCAAGGAACCTCGACAAACATTTTTGGCGCCTGTGAAAGTTG